GTTTTAATTCCTCAATTGGCTAATCCATTTATATCTACGTATACTCCTATTAGGCAATAAAATTAGAGAGTTCCATTTCATCAGCGACGACCGTGATATGCGGCGCAAATGGAAGTCGGTGCTGCAGAAACAGATTGACATCTTCAACGGCACTCACAAACGGGAAAGCGCCATCAAATCGCAAACCAAAGGCTTCAGTACTATGTAGCTCCAAGTGTCGGCTAATTTACGACACAGTTTACGATACAATACAATGCGGTGCGATCTGTTACGCGACGAGATTATATATAACAAACCTCGTGAGATGAGTGTCGGATATGGAGTATAACACGGGACAGTACTTGGTATAATGGACTTAGACACACTGTGTGTGTAGAGCATAGTATCAGTAGTATGGTACGACTCAACCTAAGGAAATAAAGATACCGGAAACAGATATAATTGTATCAGTCAATTGCAGCGGGCGGAAAGGTGTTTGATGATCAGCATATATAATGAGATTGCGTCGGTCTCATACTCCTGGGAAATGTTTGAAACCGACCTCCATACACGCGTCAATAGTCCACACCTTCGCCGAAAGCATTGTGTGTATCTGCTGATGTATGTACAAGGGATCTACATAACCCATCCGCAACGGTCTCTAAACTTCGGTCGGTACTACACAGGACGTCTTCGCTCTGGAAATCGAACGCGATAACGCGACTTGGTGATGGGCTCCATAGGCGTCAAGAACATGTGAAGCCATGCAGGAGAGAGGGCAACGCCATTTACAGTAGCACGGGGAGATATCTTTATAGTTGCTATAGCAACATTGTATGCACATGCCAATATGTATACCCACGTCTCTGAGGTGTTGGTGTGTGTAACATGCATGTAGGTTGCTTTCTGTATGGTCGCCATGGCAACCTTGTGTGCATATGAATGCAGATTTATGCCCATATTTCTAAGGTTCCCCTGTGGTCAAGCTCGCACATACTGTACCCGTAAGTGAGCGGAAGCGCAGCGTCCAGTTCCTCAGAGCAAGTTAGGATCTTTTCATTAACACTCCAGTTTCCTATTATAGCCAGTGCTCAGAAAACTCATGAGACTTCTGAGTGTGCTGCGAAGTGTGTGTAAGTCGACAGCACAGACGCAGTCCTGTGCACATCTGAATGAGCCTTCGGATGCGAATGACGCAGACTCTGTGCAGCGACAGTGCCATCAACTGCTACACCCATTTACACGTCTTCGTGCGCTCTCGTACTCGCCGTCGAAGGTGGAAGCTAACTCACGAGACACAAAAACGAGACGCAACTCAGACGGTCATGGCTACTGAGATATGTGCCATAGGCATCGCCCATAGGCATCGCCCTATTCTCTCTGGACCAGTCTATGGTTTCACATCTTAAATACTAATCATACTACTAGGTTGACGGAGACACTACAGTGCGGAGCCCATGTATCTTACCTACAAGACTAACATCTTATCTACAAGACTCTGACATCTTATCTACTAGACTCTGACATCTTACCTACAAGACTGACATCTTACCTACAAGACTCTAAAACGTATCATATAAAGCAAAACATGCGAAACGCCATGATTTATTACTGTGACATTGGTGTGGGCTTACTAATGAGCCTTCCTCCTGCCAGTGTGTAGATGCCATGCCATTTACAGAAAGACTGACAGCCGGCCACTCGAGTGTGGCTTTTGTATGTAGCTCACTAGCTAACGCAAAGTATCTAATGCCGTGTCCATGCGCGCCCTACAGCTATATATAGACCTGTATTACCTACACGCATGCACACCCATCATCAGACCATTTTGCCGGCCCAGTTTCTGGCTCAAGATATCCGCAGAACGCATTCCGCTTGCTATTAGTCGCCGCCGCCTACAAAGTCACATCAAGACCACGGTGCGCGCCAACGGAGGTGTGATAGAATGACTCGGTATAAATCCACTTCATGTGGACGACCTGGTACTACTCCACGCCTGAGCCATGGCTTGACATTTGTCCTCTGTTGTCCTTTACTGCTTCTCTTGATATTTGTCCTATACTTGTGCACGCTAGATCGACCCGGCCCCAATACTACCCATTCCCGTCCCTCAACCGCACACGCAGGTATCACTCACCCCACCGTGCAAGCGCATGAACCACCTTGCAAACCTTAACACCTTTGTCACCATACACATCTTATTACCTTTGTCATCAAGCACATCTTATTCCCTTTGTCACCATGCACGCCCTATTACCTTTGTGTGTGCATGTTGCTTACATTCCGATGGTTGCCGTATGCAATGCACTTTCGCAGTGATTCCTCTGTCCACATCAGCTGAGGGGCGTAGGGCCATTTACTGGTGCGGAGTCTAAGTGCAAGGGCGCATATGCTCCAATAAACATTCTTCTGGCTTGACGTAGACACCATAGAATAGAGCCTATTCATTCGCTGGCGCAGTGTGTGCTGCAAACTGGTAAACCGGATTAAACATCAGATGCACCTGTCGTATACTTACTGCGTTCTGCTGTCAACCAGATCAGACATATGCAAGCATATATGTATAAAACATATATAACATATATA